TCTCCTCTCCCCTGTGTCTCCGCTGTTTGTATGTGTGTGTGTGTGTGCGCGCTGTGTAATCCCATTGTCCCGTCCTCCGTAGAGAAGCCCGGACCTTCCAATGTCGTCTTCAAACCTGCCACCTGATTGGCTGCTGGAGGTCAGCGGATAAACCCATAAAAAAAGGCGTGACATCTCTTTACATCCCCTTAAATGTTCACCTTTTTGTCCTTACAGGGCCTGTGTGCTGCAAGGACTACATCTCACCGCCTTTGAATCGTTCACTTAGTGAGCTCTGTGGTGGCAAATGAGGCAAATGTCCTCTCTGCTGCGAGCAAACACAATATTACCACACTTAAGGGTTTCTTCAAAGGGGATGCTGGCTCCTTCTGGTTCTCTAAGACAGAAGTCGAGTTGAGTCCTGAGCGAGGAATTCAACACGAGTTTCTGATGAAAATCCGGCCAAAACAGCTGCACTACTTCTTTTCAGTGTCACCACATCGGTCGTCTCACATCTTCTTCCTCGACTGAGAAGAAGGGCATTCCTCCAAAAACAATCCCAGCACCAAAAAAAATCTAAAAAACTGCCATAGCTTTTGTATGTCAAAAAAGTCATAGTATATTATGTTGAAAAAAGTCCCACTATGGTATGTATAAAACAGTCATAAAGTACAGTAAAGCATGTCTTAAAAAGTCATTCAAACTACCCACTAGAATTCTACAAACTGGCAAAACATAAACGTATAATATTTTCAATGAAATGAAATAATGAGATGCTATACATACACACATGAACACAGCTCTTATTGACAAAGACCCCCCCCCCCTCACCTCCAGTTATAGATCTATAAGCCTGATTAACTGTGACCGGAAAATAATTAGTAAAGCACCAGCCAACAGATCACAGTCAGTCGTTTTTCCATGAATCCATCCAGACCAAACGGGTATCATTACAGACAGACTCTCATTAACCAACATGCGCTGTCTCTGCAATCATTGGTCTCTCCCAGAGTAACCATCTGAAATATAAGTACATCACTGGAAGCAGAAAAGGCATTTGATAAAGTCAACTGGACTTTTATTTCCATGACCTTTTGGGGAGTCATTCATTGAGAGGATTGAATCTCTTTCTAACTCACCATCTGCAGCTTCTTTTTAAAACCAACGATCACACCTCTCAATGCTTCACACTGCAGCAGGGCGGAAGACAAGGATGTCCACTCTCACCATGACGGTCTGCCAGAGCAGCCGCCATTCAACAGAACACTCGTATCGCAGTAATAGAAGACTTTCACAATAAAATGTGTTTGTATGCAGATGACATCCTGCTATACCGAACAAATCCCTCACCA